CAGGTGTGAGGCGTCCTTCTCGGTGTAACTGCCCTTCTCGACAATCCTATCAAACAGTTCGCCACCCATTACCCTATAAATCATAGTCAGCATCACAATTATGGTCATGTGGACAGTGGTGTCACCAGTCACTCACAATTCCATCACTAAATACACTTTATTCTTGTCTTCAAATGTCTCCACTAATTGAACAATATTTGAATGTTTGAGTCTGTAATGAAATATTCATATAATTAGCAATTGTAATGTAATCCAATTATGGCAATATGTCAAATAATTGTATAGTCGCTATTAAGGGCTACACAATAAGCCATCAAAGTTCAGCAATTGTCTCAAAGTAATCATACGTTTGTTTGTTATAAAGTTATATAAATGCAAATCAAATCCATTTTTAAGAACATTGTTTAACTTGAAGTTAGAGTAAATAGTATGTTGAGAATGAAGGTAACATATATGACAGTATCATTGACGTAAATCCCGATATCATAACAAGTTAAACGACAGTTATTAGTGTGTAAAACCAAAGAGTATATAAACCATTTAACATTAAAATCTAATTATGAAAGAGTGAAAATCGATAGATAGTGGCTATTAATTTAGTACACATTTGTAATACAGTATATAGCTTGTATTATTTTGCATGAAAGTCTATTAGAAAATGTTTAAAACAATTTATAGAAAATCACGTAAATACAATTGTTAATACAGTATTCATATTGTTATTAATAAATTTGCAGTGAAAACAGGACAGAAGACAAAGTGAGGCTATAAATATAATCAACCAGGTGTTCTCGTGGTGAAAAATATACGGTATGTCAGTACGTAACAATAGCAATATAGTAAACACGCGGTTAATAATCTATAAATTGGTTTATGTGATATAGTTTGTGTACTTTTAATGTACATGCTACAATATCTTACTACACTACTTATACAATAGATTCACAATAATTGTGTTCATATCAAGGCATACAGTATATTGATATGAGATTCAAATACAATCAAAGCATTCATTTGTTAACCAAACTATTGATTACAAGTGATTACCAATAATAGCGCAACAACTAGATCTATGGATCATATTGTGGTTCATATGACCACTATAATGGCACAGACATGCAGACAGACAGACATGAATCAAGTGAATGGTGGCTCACTTTCTAAGCACTTTGATCTCGTTCTCGAGTGAGTCTTCTTTGCCCTTAAGAGCCCTCCTGTCGATGCACTTAATGGCTTGCATTCGGTTGGTCTGGAGCTTGTGTTGAGCCATATTTATATTAGTTGGTCCACAAGAGCACCACTTTTTATATGCCATACAGTCATGCATTGTTATCGTTATATCATTTGTGCGCCAATTATTAGATATTTAACCAAATACACTATATCAAACACATGAAATAATGTACATGCTACAATATCTTACTACACTACTTATACAATAGATTTACAATAATTGTGTTCATATCAAGGCATACAGTATATCGATATGAGATTCAAATACAATCAAAGCGTTCACTTGTTAACCAAACTATTGATTTCAAGTGATTATCAATAATAGCGCAACAACTAGATCTATGGATAATATTGTGGTGATTATGACCACTATAATGGCACAGACATGCAGACAGACATGCAGACAGACATGCAAGTAATGTTCATGAATGGTGGCTCACTTTCTAAGCACTTTGATCTCGTTCTCGAGTGAGTCTTCTTTGCCCTTAAGAGCCCTCCTGTCGATGCACTTAATGGCTTGCATTCGGTTGGTCTGGAGCTTGTGTTGAGCCAAAAACACCTGAGAGAAGGCCCCCCTTCACCACAACACCAAACATTATCACCATATTATCTCAACATATACTTCATGGCAAACTATGCTACATACGTTCCCAGGATCTCCTTCATAGTGTACACGTCCTCCACATTAGCCGATGTGTTGATGTATTCTTGAGGTTGTCGTCGGTTTTGGTCTTTTTTCCCGAAGAGAGGCATTGCTTTCAAACCATTAATCAATTATTACAAGAGATTTGTGCAGATTTCAGATCTAATGGCATATAATTAGCTCAACATATGATCAAATCAATTGGTTGTAGACGTGAGACACGAGACAAACGATTTGATAATTAAGTGTTCAATGTATCGACCATTTGGTGGTAAGTATTGTATAATAAGTATTGAATCCAAAGGACAGACATTTGATTGCATGAAATGTTATACTTGTTATGCATTCATATAAACAATCATTCATTCATTGAATGCTATGTTAACTCAACACCACTTCACATCTCAATGACAGCAATACGACAACAATATAGCACTCATACAGCCATTCAGTCACCACTCATACACTCATACACTGCAACCAAACCCCTGTTTTGCATCAAAGGTTAATCATTGGCGACATTAACCACAACTTCATTCTTCACCACTTCATCAGCCAATATCAATGGATCCAAGCAATGGTACTATATTCACATATTCACTGCACCAACCAATCTCTGTTCACAACATATTGTATAACTATAATACATGTATTCCTGTATTATTCTGTACTTACAGTTAACTATAGGAATATTCTCATTAAAAAATAAACACCACTTCCTATTGTTGAAACTCCTTTATAGACAACTTAATTGAACAATAATTGTTTCAATGCATTTAATTTAGTAAATCAATTATAAGTGGGTTTAATTGGTATCTGGTATACTTGGGTACTTCTCATGAGAATTGTTAACAAAAAGCTATTTAATCTATATAAGTTATTTAAATATTTAAGTCAAATGATTTAAGAGTACACAACCAACACTCACTCATACACACGTTAATGTAAATCAAAAGTTTGTCCTATATTTATAAAATGATCATTTTGTGGTGTAAGACTAAACTGATAGAGTGGTAGAGTACAGAGTAATAGTAATAGAGTAAATTGATTTGAAATACTGTGCAAACTGTAATCGATTGGTCTTACCTTTATCATTACGATGACCACAATGCATGTTGTGTTTGTTGGTGGCAATGATAAAAATAAATGAATGAAAATACTATTTGATAGTAAGATTGCGGGCACTTTAATGTCAATAATGATTACAATCACATAATTATGTATTGAATGTTTTGTTTGTTTTCTAAACAATCATATCGTTTGTGACTATACATGTATTCCTGTATTATTCTGTACTTACAGTTAACTATAGGAATATTCTCATTAAAAAATAAACACCACTTCCTATTGTTGAAACTCCTTTATAGACAACTTAATTGAACAATAATTGTTTCATTGCATTTCATTAATTTAGTAAATCAATTATAAGTGGGTTTAATTGGTATCTGGTATACTTGGGTATATACTTCTCATGAGTATTTTAAACAAAAAGCTATACAGTAAGTTATTTAAATATTTAAGTCAAATGATTTAAGAGTAAACAACCAACACTCACTCATACACACGTTAATGTAAATCAAAAGTTTGTCCTATACAGTACAGTATTTAAATTTATAAAATCATCATTTTGTGGTGTAAACCTATTAGTATACAGTGGTAGAGTACAGAGTAATAGTAATAGAGTAAATTGATTTGAAATACTGTGCAATACTGTAATAGATTGGTCTTACCTTTATCATTACGATGACCACAATGCATGTTGTGTTTGTTGATGGCAATGATTCAAATAAATGAATGAAAATACTATTTGATAGTAAGATTGCGGGCACTTTAATGTCAATAATGATTACAATCACATAATTATGTATTGAATGTTTTGTTTGTTTTCTAAACAATCATATCGTTTGTGACATTGAATTCGATTCAATAAAAGGGAAGTTTAATTAGATTTGATTTTAAGTTAAATTACTCATCATTTCAAGTGTAATGTAATAGAAACAGAAAATAGCACCCAATGTGCGATCGGTTCTCGTTTTACAAATACAATAATCTATAATATAATAGAAATAAAGGTTTTTAAATAAATTTCATTATCAGAAGTGGTGCTTCAGGTCAACAGTCAGTTAATTAACACCAAATCAACATTTTTAAATTGCTATTCAAAGCATTAATTGGCAAACAGTCGAAACATTTCTCGTCATTTATAGATATAATGCCAAAACAATTGGTTTCCTTATGTAGTATAAAGTTTGTGCACTTTTCCATGTTTTCAATATAAATAACAATTTGGAGATAATTCAATACTCAATAAACGGGAAATATGTTTAAAAGTGTATAAAATGACATTTTGGGTAAAACTTTGAGCAAAAACCAAAAGGAAAATAAAATAAAATAAAACTCATATCAATCAATGACTTAGAAATTAAATAAATTTTTGATCATTTGATACAATAATTGATTTTTGTTTAGAGAAAAATATGTGCCGTTTGTGTCACTTATTGATAAGTCTCTCTAAAATGAAGTTTAAAAACAATGTAAAGTATATATATATATATTTATATATAACTAGTGATAAAGTTATAAATTGTAATAAAATGAGTTAATATGAAGACTTGAAATATTTGCTTCAAATAAGAATAGTATAGACTTATATAGAATTGGCTCAAAACGGGAAATGATTTTACAGGCAATCAATTGTTTTATACTTTCATTTATCGGTTATCCGTTTGAATGGACTCTAAAAGCATTTAAATATCTGTAGAATTAATTTCTTAACTTAATTACAACAAAACACATCGAGGTTTCCGAGGCGGCCGTTGCTTCTTCTCCGGGTTCTTCCTATTGATCTGTCGGACCAAGTCGTAGAAGATCTGCACCAAAGGGGACACATATAGTAGAGGACAGTATGGCAACACATCCACAACCACACCAATAGACATATATACAGTACAGTACAGTACGGCAACACATCCACAACCACACCATTACCTCATTCACGTTGATCTTGGCTTTGGCCGACGACTCGAGGAACGCGCAGTTGTTGAACGACCTTGCTAGGTTGGCACCTTGGTCCTTCCCCACTACCCTTTCGTCGTCCAAATCACACTTATTTCCCACCAAAATCATAGGCACGTCGTCGGTGTCCTTCACTCTCAGAATCTGTTCCCTTAAGTCCTGTAAGTCGTTGAAAGTGGACTGCGCTGTAATCGAGTAGACCAACACAAATCCCTGTCCATTCTTCATGTACAGGTCCCTCATGGCTGTGAACTGTTCCTGAAGTCATAATAACACACATTAGTCATCACCACAACAGTGGACAGTGGGTGTCGTGACTAACAGTGCCCGCGGTGTCCAGTATCTCGAGCATACACTGCTGTCCATCGACTTCCACTTGTTTGCGGTAACTGTCTTCGATGGTCGGGTCGTACTTCTCGACGAAAATGCCTACAAACACATCATTGCACTCATTAGCCACTCATATGGCGGCCAATTGGCACCAATGCATACATACCCTGAACGAACTGAACCGTCTGTTTGTCATCCAAACAAATATACAAACAATTAGTCAATTGAATGCTACACAACACCACAATCATGACATACCAGTGCACTCTTGCCCACACCTCCGGAGCCCAGAACTACTATCTTGTATTCACGCATTGGTCACGATTGAGACGATGTCTACTCGGATGACAACAAATCAAATGGTTTAGACCTAATGGCAGACAATCACCACCAGTGTATCCATAGGCAAAGCCATGGATGGTGTGGTGCACATACCTGTTGGTGCGATCACTGTGTGTTGGAGTGGTGGCCACGACCGTCGTAATGATAATGTGATAATGTGGTCGTAATGTGTGAATCAATGCTAACAAATACACCAAATGTTCATTGAATTAGTGATTAGTGTCTAATAGTGTGTAATACTGTGGGCTATACTGTATTCATATGACTGTGAGATTCACTACAGTGTATAGACTGTAGACTCGACTCATTTGCCACAGAGTGAGCGCACATTCACTACAATCCGACTCTCGTTAACACTCTTTCAAACTTCAACACAAACTCGCATTCAGTTTACGGACAAACACACCATCCCGCACAAATACTACTCAGTGTTACCATTCATGTCACTATACCTTTGCAATAGTTGTCTCTGATCATAGAATTAAGGGGATTGAGCGAAAACTGACCAGGATACTATACGAGATACTATACGGTTTGGTAGCTGTTGCGAACGTTACACTGTTAGGGCTGTGCCATGAGTTCACTTGCCGTTCACTGTGTCTATGCTATACTGTATGTCATATTAGCCAGCATTTGGTGACTCACACCCTCTCCCATACATTCACTGCACAATCACTGCTCAATCCATACACTGATTGCAATTTGCTATCATATCATGTCTCATACAGTAGTACAAGTGGCCCACAATTAGTCTAACACTACAGTATTCACACAATAGTTATATACCGTAGCATTGTATCAATTGAATTAAATATTCTTTATTCAGGGTTCATTTTACAAATATATCAATTTATGCAATCAATTCAATTCAAATAGACAGCTGTAGAGATAGTGTATTAAAACAATGTATAAGTTTATATTAGGCGTAAGTGAATGCATATGTATTGTTATTAATAAGTATATGACTGCAGACAATACAAAACTAATGAATGAATCAAATGAATTGTGGTGAATATTTGCCTCAATTGTCAATATAATTGAACCCCAATTGGGGGTATTATTTCCAATGCATGTATTGTAACTGTGTTTGTGAACGAACTTTGATTGCAGTTATTTTATATTTTCAATTATATATCCCGTACTCTACCTTCCCGTCCCATTCTTTACAATAAATTAGCGATACACCCGTTCCCGTCTAATCCCGTAATTATTATTTATATTCACAAAATTTTTAATAATTCAAAATGAGACTATAATTCAAACTAGTAATTAAATTCAAAATTATACTTCTTAATGTAAGTTTTATTACCCGCTTTAGTGAATTGCAATTAAGTAGTTAATCCACTTTCATATAAATTTAGTGTAGTTCGTACATGAAAATTAATACATATTAGTTTGCACATACATATTATAATACATAAAGTAATTATATAAAATAAAAGCTAATTTATATAAATAAAAGGTGTGTATTGGTGGCAATCCCAGAGCAGTCCCAAACCCAAGTGAAACTACATATTATGATGACTACTGTAGTGCATATACAGTACAGTATGGGTTGACGTATTGACTACACTGTACTCACTGTACTGTATTGACTGTATTGAGTGGCTGTGAGTGCGAGTACTGTATTGAGTGCACAAACTGTAGTCCAGTGTCTTAGCCGGTGATCACTGCGTGACTGTTGACTGCATTGATCTGCAAACCTATCACTCATTTGCTAACAATTACCACATCTGTCACCACAAATGGATGAAGAGTACGACGCGATTGTGTTGGGAACTGGTCTTAAGGTGAGTGAGTGTTCGCATGAGTGACACATCGACACAATGGTGTTGTTGAGGCATTGTCTCACTATCTGTCATGTCTGTCATATGTGTGGTACAGGAGTGCATCCTGAGTGGTATGTTGTCGGTGTCGGGCAAGAAGGTGCTGCACATCGACACCAATAAATACTACGGCGGAGAGAGCGCCTCCATTACGCCCCTCGAGGACCTGTTCACCAAATTTGGTTTCGACCCGTCGAGCACTTCCATCGAAGAGTACGGACGATCACGTGACTGGAATGTGGACCTCATTCCCAAGTTCCTGATGGCTAATGGTCTGCCTTTTAGACAACTCACTGATTGCTCGAGTGGTTGTCATAACACTTAATACCTTCTTATAGGCTCTTTGGTGAAGCTGTTGATCCACACGGGAGTAACTCGTTATCTGGAGTTCAAGTCATGCGAAGGCAGTTATGTCTATAAGGGCGGCAAGATCTTCAAAGTGCCCGCCGATGAGAAGGAGGCGCTGTCTTCGAGTAAATATCAAATATGATGCACACGAGTGATGCTAATGATTGGCTGATTGTGTGACAGGTCTGATGGGAATGTTTGAAAAGAGGCGTTTCCGCAGTTTTCTGCTATTCGTTCAGGACTTCAATAAAGAGGACCCGAAGACGTGGAAAGAGATCGACCCGAAGACCACAAACGGGTCTCAATTGTACGAGAAGTTCGGTCTGGACAGAGACACCGCTGACTTTACTGGACACGCGCTGGCGCTCTACCGGAACGACGAGTGAGTATTGCTGTGAGCTGTCGCGTGTGACTGTCACCGGTATGTCTATCTCTATGGACAGGTATCTACAGGAGCCGTGTTTAGATCTGATCAATCGTGTGAAGCTCTACAGCGAATCGTTGGCTCGATATGGGAAGAGTCCCTATTTATACCCATTGTATGGGTTGGGAGAACTGCCTCAAGGGTTTGCGCGACTCAGTGCTATCTATGGCGGCACTTATATGCTCGACAAAGCTGTCGATGAGATAATTGTGGAGAACGGGAAGGTCGTAGGCGTGCGGTCGGGCTCTGAGACGGCCCGATGCAAGCAAGTCTACTGCGACCCCTCCTATGTGGGCGACCGGGTGCGCAAAGTGGGACAAGTGATTCGCTGCATATGTCTTCTCAATCACCCCATTCCTAATACCAAAGACGCGCTGTCCTGTCAGATCATCATTCCTCAGAAACAGGTCGCTCGCAAATACGGTATTATGGGTTGACGTATTGACTACACTGTACTCACTGTACTGTATTGACTGTATTGAGTGGCTGTGAGTGCGAGTACTGTATTGAGTGCACAAACTGTAGTCCAGTGTCTTAGCCGGTGATCACTGCGTAACTGTTGACTGCATTGATCTGCAAACCTATCACTCATTTGCTAACAATTATCACATCTGTCACCACAAATGGATGAAGAGTACGACGCGATTGTGTTGGGAACTGGTCTTAAGGTGAGTTCGTGTTGGCATGAGTGACACATCGACACAATGGTGTTGTTGAGGCATTGTCTCACTGTCTGTCATGTCTGTCATATGTGTGGTACAGGAGTGCATCCTGAGTGGTATGTTGTCGGTGTCGGGCAAGAAGGTGCTGCACATCGACACCAATAAATACTACGGCGGAGAGAGCGCCTCCATCACGCCCCTCGAGGACCTGTTCACCAAATTTGGTTTCGACCCGTCGAGCACTTCCATCGAAGAGTACGGACGATCACGTGACTGGAATGTGGACCTCATTCCCAAGTTCCTCATGGCTAATGGTCTGCCTTTTAGACAACTCACTGATTGCTCGAGTGGTTGTCATAACACTTAATACCTTCTTATAGGCTCTTTGGTGAAGCTGTTGATCCACACGGGAGTGACTCGTTATCTGGAGTTCAAGTCATGCGAAGGCAGTTATGTCTATAAGGGCGGCAAGATCTTCAAAGTGCCCGCCGATGAGAAGGAGGCGCTGTCTTCGAGTAAATATCAAATATCATGCATACGAGTGATGCTAATGACTGACTGATTGTCTGACAGGTCTGATGGGAATGTTTGAAAAGAGGCGTTTCCGCAGTTTTCTGCTATTCGTTCAGGACTTCAATAAAGAGGATCCCAAGACGTGGAAAGAGATCGACCCGAAGACCACAAACGGGTCTCAATTGTACGAGAAGTTCGGTCTGGACAGAGACACCGCTGACTTCACTGGACACGCGCTGGCGCTCTACCGGAACGACGAGTGAGTATTGGTGTGAGCTGTCACGTGTGACTGTCACCGGTATGTCTATCTCTATGGACAGGTATCTACAGGAGCCGTGTTTAGATCTGATCAATCGTGTGAAGCTCTACAGCGAGTCGTTGGCTCGATATGGGAAGAGTCCCTATTTATACCCGTTGTATGGGTTGGGAGAACTGCCTCAAGGGTTTGCGCGACTCAGTGCTATCTATGGCGGCACTTATATGCTCGACAAAGCTGTCGATGAGATAATTGTGGAGAACGGGAAGGTTGTAGGCGTGCGGTCGGGCTCTGAGACGGCCCGATGCAAGCAAGTCTACTGCGACCCCTCCTATGTGGGCGACCGGGTGCGCAAAGTGGGACAAGTGATTCGCTGCATATGTCTTCTCAATCACCCCATTCCTAATACCAAAGACGCGCTGTCCTGTCAGATCATCATTCCTCAGAAACAGGTCGCTCGCAAATACGGTATGCCTTCACAACACCATACATCACACCATAGCCTCCATTCACTTGTTATATGATTGCCTTCTTTTTGACAGACATTTATGTATCTCTGGTGTCGTTCACACATCAGGTGGCGGCCAAAGGATGGTTCGTAGCCATGGTAAGCACTACTGTCGAGACTAATAATCCCGAAGCAGAGATTAAGCCCGGATTAGACCTCTTGGGACCAATTAAGCAGAAGTATGTAAAATGTGTTGATATTTGTGTTGAATTGAAACTTATATATTGAGTATTGATTGATACGATTGAACGCAAGGTTTGTCTCTGTGAGCGATCTCTACAAACCCCTAGAAGATGGCAAAGAGAGTCAGATATTCATATCTGAATCGTTTGACGCGACCTCTCATTTCGAGACCACGTGTTCCGATGTACTCGACATCTTCAGACGTGGGACCGGAGAAGACTTTGACTTCTCGAAAGTCAAACTCGATCTAAACGATGACCAGTGAGTGACCGGTCGATGACTCGCCACTAGTTTTAAATCTCTGTTTCTTTGATTTTTTAATTACAAAATTAATTGTGAAAACATTTTTATTATAAATTTATTATTAAATTAATGAGATATTGCAATTTGGATCGCATTTTGTGTTGAGTTTCAATTGTTTTACATTTTATTCAATATATAGACTGAAAGCAAACCATTAAAACACTAATTATTGACATTTAAATACAATATGAATTGAATTGAATTGAATGAAGCTTAAGCACAAGTATGTCATTCATATGTCGATCATTCCCTATATTTTTATATAAAATTTTATTTCATTTATTGAACCAAAAGTTTCTCTAAAAGTATTTGAGAGATGAGATGTAAATGAATATAAATTATGTCTTAAAATGCGATCAAACTCTTAGAACTATAGCTTCAAAATTAATGTCAACTTTATATCCGAGGTTTCAATTATTATTGAGTTTTCAAATTGAATTCTAATTGCCGTATAATTGCTGTATATGTCTAATATGTCTAATATTAAAGTCAATCTTCAAACTCGAAATGTGTTTCAATATTATGTTACTCTCAATACATATTACAATAGATTGTTATGTAATGTCTATAATCTTATGTAAAGTGAATAAATTATCTAAATTTTAAGAGTTGTTTCCACTTTCATTCAAATTCACCACTCAATTGACTGACCAACATGTTCAGGCTTAAATTGATAGTAATACTGTAGGTAAAGTACAGTATGTTGTGTTCACAACCATTGAACGCTTATTTTGGACACTAATACCGGTACTACATCATCATGGTCCAGTCAATGAGGGTTATATAACGGCAATTCCTTAATATAATATAGTTTGCCAGATTGGTAGCACCACGTCCAGTTAACCCCCAAACGTAGTGTATCATACACCTCACCATATTACCGTACAGTATCTCTAATACATCTCATAAATTACCTGTATCTTATATAATAGTATCCTATACCATGGTTATTCTGTATAAGTGGCTAATATATTTAATACTAATACAGTATGTAACTTTGATATGTTTTTTCAATAACTTATTTTTAATATCAGATAAATGGGGGAAAGTATTAGAAATCATTGAAAAGACAAATTGTATTAAAAGGTCGCGACCAGGAATTGAACCCGGCACCTTGACAGTATGTAACTTATTTATAAGACTTGCTTATAATTAATTACCGGTACTGCTTTAATTCAACTTAAAAAGATACTTTATATTTATTTTATTTTCAATATTTTCTACAAGTTTTCGATACTGTATTGATTTTATAGTTGGAAATGACTCACTAATTATTAATATCTTTTAGTATATAATATAAAAAACGAGACATTTTCAGTGACCACCGATTTTTATCTCTCTGTAATTGTGAGTCAAGAAAGACAAAGATGTATCACAATTCACATATTCATACAGAAGTTATCATACTATAAGTCACCTTTGTGGTGTTGCATTGGCATGAGGTTGTCAACCAAAAGGGTGCCAGATAAGTCCAAGGTTTCAGTATAAGTTGACGACATTATTTAACTAAATAGATTCTCAATTAATAATTATCTTTTTAATCGTTTTATAAAGAATTATATTTTTAATAATTGCATTTTTAAAATCATCTTTTATGATTTTCCTTATATGTAGATAAAAATGTCAAAAGTTAGAGAAATTTCTTAAATTTAGCAAAATATGGAATACTTGATTGCAATTAATAAATCTATAAAAGTCATATAAAACTAAAAATATATAAATTGAAATTCATGTAAAATAAACATTTTATGTATAAAAACACATGTATATCATTATATAAAAGAAGTTTACATTCATTTAATTTTATAATATTATAACTTAGACTTTTCTATAAAGTTCACGATCTATAGTACGACCTATAAATTAAATGCGTTAACCTGATCTAATCATTTGATAATTACTAGTACAGTAATATTTTCTCGAATGCTATTTTTATTTATTTAATGAATTGTGTTTATTAATTTAATAAGTGTAATTTGTGCTAAATATTTCATTTTAACAAAATATTGTAATTTGGGATCAAAAGCTTGTTGTAAGAAATATTTTTTTGAAAATTTATTATTAATTATTTTAAATTTCTCAATTGATTTTGAAAATTATATTATTTATACATGTTTATATTTCATGTAAATCCACAGTAATATTATTAGTTAGTGTCAAAGAGTTTACAATAGCGATTAATTGTGTTTGATTGTTTTCCATTTAGTAGTGTTTTAAAAATAATGTTTCTTTAAAGAAATATAATAGTGTTTCGAGAATATTTGTAAACTGTTTTAGACATCGAAACACAAGTACACAACTGTTAGTTATCCCTTCATCACTTCTCGTCTGCGCTTGGTTACGTAACTTAGATAAACATCACAAAACACTGTAATCCAACTCTCGTTAATTGCTTCTGGAGTCGGAAGCATACATACCATACCTTTAATAAGTGCTTCAAAGCTCAATGAAAGCAGTCATAACTAAGAGCTCTTTGATCATAGATTCACATTATCGGTTAAACTACTGTTTTTCTATATATTTCTATCAATTATTCACAATTAATAATCATTTTACAATGTTTTCATTCAAACAAATTAAATTAAGTTTATTCACAATTTAAAGAAAATATACAATTATTAATATATAATATAATAAATGAATTTCTTATTATTTAAAGGTAAGTCAATTCTGTTAATGAATCCATTTTAAGAATACAAGTAAGAAATGAATAAAACTGCCCAAAAATTACTGATAGATATATAATATAATATATATTATACATGTAATTATATAATTGTGTGAAACAAATCGTGCGTTCATTAATCATAATCAAAGAAAATATAGGTTTGAATGAAACATGTGATCACTGAAGGAGTTGTGTTGTTGGTACAGTAGATGTTCATTTATTATTATTATATTAGCTTAATTGCTAAATGAAAACATTAAATATGAAACACCAATTTGTATAAAATTTATTGGCAAATATTTTTCAAAATCTTTTCAAGTGAATTTCTGTTATTTTTTGGATAAATGTCTAATTTAGTAAATAAATAAGGAATTAAAATATTTTCATTCAAAATAAAAGTAAATGAAACGAGTCTTTGGTGTTTGAGTTGACACTAATTTCTAATGGAAAGTTAGGTGATATTGATTACAAGAGTGAATCCAAGTATATTACGGCACTGCATAAGTACTACAGCTTAACACCACCTGAAAAGCTGTGAAATTGGTATCTCTTCTCTATTTGAGTGCCAATATATTGGGTATAATAGAGGGGAAGGCATAATATCAACACAAGTCAGTAGGTCTGTGAGTAACAGAGGTATATACTTAAGTCATATTGAGTTGCGGTAATGTGATAATAAACGAGAAGTCTAATTTGAGATGTGTAGTCACCTAGTCACCTAGTGTATTTCATATTATATAATACATACACTTTTATAAATACTATTGTGAGACATAAATCATATTTTTGTATTTTATACAATAGTTTTATAGGCTCTTATATACATTTTAAATATCAAACTCCTGAACCGGTAATGTTTCTTATTAATAGATATCAATGATTTTTATGTATGAGAAACAACTATAATCTTAAACAATTACGTAAACTTATAATATTCTGTATGCTTTATTAACAGTAAAATGCAATCATAATACAATATACAGTATATACGGTACATTGCCCACTTGTATTGCAATTGCCCGGTACAATAAATTGTTATTTTTAACTATTTTATTTAATTTTATAAATTATTGTAATTATTATTTTTATCAATATTTAATATTGACATTTGAAATTCTTATTAATTTTATTTAACAAACAGGATGCTATTACCCATCAGTTACTTTAAATTTGATACCAAATATAAATTGTATGTAAGTTTTATACGAAAAAGCTCACACAACTTTATAGGAGTGCACAATATTATTTAGTATTAGACTTATAACCATAAACTCCAAAAACTTTGTAAAATACATACTGAATGATGTTACTGCTTAATGAATGTAGTCTCAAATTATGTGTAAAAGTAAAACATAATCTCTTATTCACTACTTTAACAAACTAATGGTCGTTTTAATAACTCACAAAATAGTGTAGAATAATGTGGTATAATATACTGTAAGTGATAATTGTCACCAATGTATGCATAAATGTTTGCTTATTTCCAGAGTTAGAAAACATGATTTTCATGAATAATAACAGCCTTACAGTGAAGTGACTTTACAGGTATAAGTTTAATAGTTTATTTGACTGTTAAGTTGGGCTACAATAGTATGAATACTGTCGGTTGGAGACAAAATCGCGAAACCCATAATCGCGAAATTTAAATTTAAATTAATTTTAATTAATATTAGTTTATAGTATATTTATGTTGATAGTTAGATTAGGTAAGGTTAGGTGATATTATGTTATGTTAGATTAGGTTAGGTTAGGTTAGGTTAGTTTTTGTTAGGTTACTAATTTCAGCTAAAACCCGATGAGGGCTTATAACATCAATGATGTCACTAACATGACATATATCACACTGGTCTATGAAAAAAGTACGTTTTTAGAAGACCTTTTGACCTGTATTAAATAAGAGATTGAAATCAGAACAATTATGTCCAGAAATACAGTTATAACAATTAGAAAGTATTTGAACAAGAATGATATTTGAAGCATATTTATTTAGTTTCCAATTTATTTTTATATAATAATTTAGTGTTTAAACTTTTTTGATACCTTAGTTTGAACATCAATTATATATACTGTATGCATAATAACATGTATTAATTTAACCTAGATTTCAGATCTTTCTTAATTTAAATTAAAATTAAATTAATTAAAATGATTTTAATATGAGTATTTCATGTAAAATAGTACCAGAATATGATTTTTTAAACATAATAATCGTCAATTCTGTATCAGTATCTGTGCATATCATTAATTCTTTAAATTAGTGAAATCATTCTAATAATATAATCATCGTTTTATAAAAATAATATTGAATTTTAGTGATTATAATTGACTCCCAAAAATATCTAAGAACTGGATATTTAATTGTCCAGTTTTTACTATGAACTGGACACTGGACAGAGACCGTCAAAACTGGACAATCCAGTGCAAAAATGGACATCTGGTCACACTAACTGTATACCTAAAATATTATTCATTTTTTCAATTTATAGATTTTCAATGCATTTCAAAACTATACAGCTTTATTTATAAAATCGTTGTATTTCTTATTAATAAGTTTTTTATAGTTTGAAATATGTCTATAATACTATTAAATTGTCATTCATTTTGTTACGATTTTGCGTGAAATGTTACTGTAGTTTTGAAAACAAATATTTTAAGTAATACAGTATTGACTTATGAATAATAACAATAGCACTCACATTCAATGCAATAATGTTTTCACATTTTCTATGATAATGCCCTGGGCTTTATTCAAATGTATTCAACTATTCCACTGACATATCATTATATACTCTAAATAAAGTGTAAAATATGCCTCAAATCAAAGTTATCATCAATTTATAAAACTCAAAACTAAAAATATAAAGTCTTGACTACAGTATATTCAAATAAATACCAATGTAATTTTACAGGAATATTCAATATTATTGCACAATTTCTAAAATGCATTAGTTTTAATTATAGGCTATATTTGTTTTTATTTATATTAAAGGGTAATATGGTACTTATTTTAAAAATAATAAGCATTTATTATATTGTCATTTACTTTTACTCACCTTATTATGAGATAATCTATAGATGAGAATGTAATTAAATTAGCAAAACTTCAATAATAAATTGAAACACTTTTGAATTTAGTCGCGCTATTAGTTCTCAAATGAATTTATCAAATATTAGTATTTTATGGAAAGTTTCATGTTTTGTTTATTAAAACAGTGATAAAGACGTGATTAAATGGTTTTTGAGTAACTTTAAGCCTTTAACAAAAAGTTAATTAAATATATATAAAAACAATAAAAGTTGGTTTCTTGTAGCACTAAATATTGTTTAATATTTATCATTTTGAGTCTATTTTTATTTTCCATTTCCTTTCATTAAATTTTCAATTTTTCTCAAATGATTAACAACTTTTCAAATGATTTCGTTTCCTATTTATAATTGAAATAAAGCAAAAATATTGAATCCCAACAAATAGATTGTATTATTTAAAACTATATCAAAACATCGACGGATTGACAAATAGTGGAGAAATAGAAAAGAGACAAAGGATTGTGTGTTACATCCCATGCCCACTGATGGGGTAACGCGTGTCCGACCAATTGGTTGATGTGTTCAGGCACATATTTTAGTTACTCATGTTTTAGTTACTTGTTTGCAAATCAAATTAAGGCTCCACTCCAATGAATGCATCACTGATTTTAATATAATTCTTTAAAGCATTTCAGTCTATATCTGCAAATTATTGAGCGCCTGTAGCAAAATAATGCATCATTTTACAGACTCTACACTTTTTCTCATATAAATCCCATTTTTATGATTTATAGTAAGTCTGAAAATTTTCAAGTGTTATGTCTGTAAGACTCACGCATTCCAGGGGTCGCTGTATTGCAGTCTTTGGTCGCAATCAGCGCTCAATTTAATAGTCTTCGAGACAAACATGGCTTTCGGCGAACACTTGGGGTTCGGATACAAGAGTTTCTTGATCTGCTCGGCCTTCAGCACTGCGATGACGATCTCCCGCGCCTGGAGTTCGCCCTCCAGAATGGACAGCAGTCTCAAGAGATCCGATCGATTCAACTCCATCTTCGGGTTTCTCTAATGAGTCCGAAAGCAGTCAACAATTAGTGTGCATTCAAACGGCAACTGCGGTACTACTTTCAGAGTGGAACTGCTCAGTGACATCTTAGCCCTCACTCATTGGCCTCTTGTGGGCCACAGAAGGGTCTATGAGTCCGAAAGCAGTCAACAATTAGTGTGCATTCAAACGGCAACTGCGGTACTACTTTCAGAGTGGAACTGCTCAGTGACATCTTAGCCCTCACTCATTGGCCTCTTGTGGGCCACAGAAGGGTCGCTCAACACGTCCTACACTTCCATCACTTGCGTCGACGACAACTGACCACAAGTGATGACACGATGGGAGCGATGGCTCACTAATGAAGCATAACTTAATGTCACCAAATGTCCACACAATCAGTGAATCAAGCAATCAATGCATTCATTACTGAATGAATGCCAAAAAGTTTGCACTTCTGGTCAATCGAGTGTGAGATTCAAAGCATCCAATAATACAGTGAAGACTTGAATTCAATAGAAATCTCCAATCATTTCATTGAATCGGCGTTTCATTGCATTTGCTTTCATCGCAAACACATTCTTAGAGTTATTATAATCACAATATCGGAGTCAACACAACACTCACTGTCAGTCAGTCTCTCACTGCACACCAATCAATGCCATCAATACATCTAATGGTCGCCATTCATCACATCCGCGCCATCTGTCGCGAACTTCCGCCACAAACACTACACATCAACGACGTGTTCATCACCGCAGAGGACGACAACATTGCCGTCAAGATATAGCCGACCCTCAAGTGCTGCCACAACGCGTCCATACAATGGTTGCCATTTGACGGCCACTCGAGGGCTGTGGCGCCTGTCGTCAGGAGAGGACAGCCTTTGGCAGTCTTTCCTGTCGTCGTAAAGGAGGGGTTGTATGGAGTGAAGGGTTGACGTAATTGAGTGGCGATTAAGTGATGCTTTGGACGACACGTTGTTTTGCTATCATTTAAAGCGTGGACTCAACTGAAGACGAAAATGACGAAAGGATTTCACAGTAAGTCTTAGCCATTGATTGTCTGAATGTCTAATGAATTAATGAAATGAATGGCAGAGAAGACAAGCAAACGATTGTCAGCCAAACGGCGCTATAATATCGAGAAGAAAGTGCGCGAACACAACAAGAAGCTTAAGAAAGAGCTCCGGAAGAAGACTCACTCGAGTCGGCCCAACAAAGACCCGGGAATTCCCAACTCTTTGCCATTCAAAGAGCAGGTCATCAAAGAAGCGCAAGAAGACAGACGAAGGGATGAAGAGCGCAAACAACTGGTTAGAGATCTACAGAAAGACAAACGCAGACAACAACGAGACGATCAGCTCTTGAAGAAGAGAGGTTTGGATGAGTTGACGGCCGACGCTCTCGCGAGAGGCGAAGAATTTGAGGCTAAAGGGCACTCCGACGGCCAATCGTCGACCGAAGGCCAGAGCGACAAGACTTCAAATCTGAAGTCCTATTACAAAGAGTTCCATAAAGTGATCGAAGCGTCCGATGTTGTCGTGGAAGTACTGGACGCTCGCGACCCCATTGGCAGTCGATGTCCTCAAGTGGAAGAGGAAGTGATGCGAAACGGCGCTAACAAACGGCTTATCCTTTTGCTGAATAAAGTGGATTTGATTCCCAGAGAAAACCTCAAGAAGTGGTTGCGATATCTTCGCAATGAGTTGCCGACCGTTGCCTTCAAGGCGTGCACTCAGAAGCAGAAGTCAAATCTGAGTCGAAGTCGTGTCAATGTGTTGGTCAGCAGTGAGGAGCTGTTGTCGTCGTCCAAGTGTTTGGGAGCAGACATTCTCATGAAGTTATTGAGTAATTATTGTCGCAATAAAGACCTCAAGACGAGTATAACGGTAGGAGTGGTAGGCTTTCCCAATGTCGGCAAATCCAGTGTTATAAACAGTTTGAAACGATGTCACGCCTGCGCTGTGGGTCCCACTCCTGGCCTCACCCGAGCCATGCAATTGGTTTCGCTCGACAAACGCATAAAACTGGTCGACAGCCCGGGAATCATATTCGCCGATAACAGCAACAAAACCGAAGCCAACGTTCACTCGTCTTCTCTGATGGCTCTGAGAAATGCCGTCAAAATCGAGACCTTATCGGACCCGACAGCTGCTGTGGACGCTCTTCTGAATCGCGTCGATCGCCAGCACTTGACTCTATTCTATCGATTATCGGCTTTCAAAGACGTGAACGAGTTTTTGGCTCTTTTGGCCAAACGGTTCGGTAAACTGAAGAAAGGAGGAGTCGTTGACGTTGAGGGCGCCGCCAGAAAAGTGCTCAATGACTGGAATGTCGGCAAAATTAGGTACTTCACAGTTCCTCCCGAAACACAATGTCTTCCCTTCCATATCAACGCTCAGATTGTGTCTCAAATGAGCCGAGAGTTCGACATAAATGAACGCATCTTTGATGAGGAGATGAATGAAATAAACAAAAATATTCCTCAAAATTTGTCTGAAAGCGAAGCTCTTCTTATGAACTCATTTGGATTCACTTCGGCTCGACTCGAGACCGAAGACGATAAGCAGGAAGACATGGAACAGTCAGGTGCGCCCACCACTTGGGGTCAGACAAGCATTTTACTGAAACAAAGCAAACAACAAGTTTGTGAGGACTCGGAGATGAAAGAGTTGTCTGAATTGAAAGGAATGCAATTGAATAGAGAGAAAAGAGTGATGTTTAAGAAATTGAAAAAACAAAGAAAACGCAAACAAAAGATTGCAAACAAACTGTCGAACTCTCTTCAGTCAGACATCTCTTTAGATAATGAAAGCTATGATTTTGGAACAGATTTCTAATAATTATTTGTATTTTAATTAAAGTTTATGATTAAAAACAATTATTGAATTTTGTCCTGTTTTGCCATCAATTTAAATCAGATGTACTGTACCTATAATTGTACCGTTAATAGGTATTACCTGTAATACCCGTATTAGCTTTTGATTTATCATTTGTACGATAAGTACGAAAGTATTGGAGACCATCTCATCGAACCAATAATCCAAATGAATGTAAATTTACGGTATATTACGGAATTTTTTTATATTGTACATATTTAGTATATACTGTAATTAAAAGCAATGCAATTCTATTAACTTAATACAATGCATTCCACTAGCATTAGCATTTAAAAATATGTAAATTTATTTTATTAACGTTGGAGTTCTTATACATTGGATCTATCGTATTAAGCTTCCAATAAGACTTTATTCGTTTTGAAATTTAATATAAAACAATGTAAAATAATGATTCATTATTACATTTATGTAATTCATACTACAATTGTATCATAATTATAATGATTTTTTCATACTGTACTGTACATTATGCTAATGGAAATCAGTGTGCTTTTCAATGGTTTTTCACTAAATTGATGAACACATCTACATATTGATTGATGTTATTTCTAATTCAATTGGTTTTACGCATAAAAGAGTACAGGTTTGAGATGTTCAGTGTTTTGTTTAATTGAAACCAATGTTTAGGTATTGAGTGATTGGAGTAATTGATTGCAATTTGAAGCAAAGAGTGATTGTGAGGAGTAAGGCATGAGACAAATGTAATGCACGAGTAATTACTTTCTTATTTTGCAATTTTGACAAAAAATAGTTCACTCGTTGTAGGAATTCTTGACAAATAGATAGCAAACCACTCCATAGTGTTGTAGAAATGAGTTGAGCTGTACTTCAATGTTGCCATTCTGTGAATTTCACTGCAAATATTGATTTATAGTCACAATATAAGCATTTCTGTCTTCAAATAAATAAACCAAATATTCTGCTCTCACCTCAAGTGCTCTAATCTTGCAATTCATTCAAATTTATTGTAATTTCGTTTTTATTTTACTTTAGCACTAAATTACTAGTTTCAACATTTCAATCATTTTATTTCACTTTTATGTACTGTAGGTCTGTATTATACCTGTGTTTTGTCAATTTGACAATATCAATCATATTATACTGTATATTACCGGTATTTGTGGTATATGTGTATTTTATATTTGGAATAGTTTTCAATTTAGTCTTACTATTGATATCACAATTATTACACGTTGTAAATAATTCTAATAATTATTCAAGTTCATATTTGATTTAGCTTGGAAGAATAAGTTTCTTTACACTATACTGTACTACAGTACATATACTGTAGAATATATCATAGTATAATTTATATAAATTATATATTAATTTATTGATACCATATGAAATAAAATAATTTTAATTAATATTAAATTCAAATTCTTAATTGTTTTATCTGATCTGAAGTTAACTAATGATTGCAAAATACAGTTTTCAAAATTGATTGATTTGTTACATGAGATGATGAAAAGTGAAAAAAGTTTAAGTTTTTATTTTACAATATACTGAAATTGTGTTCAGTTTACAAAGCAATATAATAAAACTTAAATTTTAGATCTAAGTAAACATATTAGCATTATACAGATTATACAGATACACTTTTACTACAGTTACATAAGGCATTCATCAGTTCATATAATAGAGTATAAAATAAATCATAAGTTATATACTGTAGTACTGTGTGTGACATACAGTGCGGTAATTGAGATGATTTTCGTAGTGACGAGAGCCCGACACAACTGAATTCACATGGTGCTAGTATCATAGCCAGCTAACCACCAAATGAACTCGGTCACATTGAGCCATTCCATCTTATTAAGCATTTATGCGTAAGTTTATTATAATTTAACACAAAATTCTATTTAATATTTGAATACAATATAGTTTATTATAAATATATTTATATTGATTTGTTATGTCATAGAATAGCATACCTTTAGTACAGTATTATTAAAAGTTCTCTTCAGTTCTGTCAAACATTGGGATCCTCTCTCTCTCTCTCTCTCTCTCTCTCTCTCTCTCCACTGACTGCTGTCTGCATTGTCAAGAAGAGAGCACATCCCCAGTCATACGTACAGTATGTGGTTTCTCATGCTTTAGTGGCATAGTATTCATCAAATGTATGAATTGTTGGATGTGTTTCCAAAGCAACGATTCAACAGAGAAGAGCTTCAATTTGATGGACCGCTAATTGGAAGCGACCCTCACTGTTAAGGCACTGTTAAGGCACTGGCAGGTCTGCAACACAGTTGTGTTCAATTGTTGTGACCAATAATTGCAAAAAGACTGGTGACTGTTATGCTGACTGAACGGACAATCATTAGTCAAATCCTTTGATTTATGTGGTTATGAGTGAAGGAGTGGCGTAACGTATATACGGCTATAATGGCTGTACAATCGTTATGACTCTTTGATTGCAAACTCTTTTACATCTTCTATAGAATTACGAACAAAAAGAGTGACAGAAATTGCTGGATATGTCAGAGTCAGACATAGCCTCTGAGCTAAAAAGGTTTACATTTGATATCAAAAGACAAGAGTCCAAAAATAATACTGTTTTCTCACTAATTAATGGCAATCAATAATCAATTACATGAATCTTTCTAAAAATAAAAATTAGTTTTATTTTCATTAACTTTAAATAAGTAATGCATAAGTAATAAATAGTAATAATAATTTTGAATTAAATAAAGTCTGTTGGGATAATAATTACACTGACCATTACATTTGATTTGATAATACCCAAAAATTGTATAATTTTACATCCAATTATCGGAACGACTATACTTGTGGATTTTGTAATTTGCAACTAGTCTAAATTTGTAATTAGTCTAAAGTCAAAGAATGTTTTCATTTATACAAAAATATTGACCATATTGAACATTGTTCAGGATCAGTTTTAAATAACCAAATGTATTCAATCTAAAAACTATGTGGCATAGTAGAGAAAATAAAAATATTTTTCATTCTTTCATCCAAGTAATTAATTTTTAAATATTTTTGTAACTAAATCGTGACTAAACTTTCAGATTTGTTTATAGACTCGATCATCAAATTTTGTTTATATCTTATTATATGGATTGAGAGAATCATTATTTGGAAAACTTCTGATTTTCTCATTTTTATTCTCAACTATCTTGCTGTTACCTAACGTTATGTGATTTGTTATTGTTTTATTTATACAGTACTTCATTATCTTTAACATTCATTCAAAAATTTCACGATAGATTTCAATCTTAGTTTATAATATAATATATTAAACTTTAAACTTAATATATTAGAAATCCTAACTTAGAATTGTCTTCAAAATGTTGTTAAGCCACAATTTATCAAAACATGAATAATATGAGTATATGTATGTATGGGGGCATATTGTCTGTAGTATACTCTACACTGTGTCTACGATTTCTGAAATAGTGGTGACAATTGCACTCAAACCATATACAGTATATTGAATGGTATGCTGTATAGAGCAGTGAACACTCGAGTAGTACTCAAATCAAAATACGAATAACGA